ATCTTCATCTGTTGAGATAATAGGTTATTTTCACCTCTCCGCCTCCTCAGGATGCTGCAAGGGAAAATATGTTAAAGACTAAGAGAAACTCCAACACTACCAACCAACCAAGCAGCGTCTAGAGTATGAATTGCTTGGCCTACCCGAGGTTAAAATTGGCCCTCTACTCATCCTGGCTAAATGGTGAAGCCACCCCATATGGGGTCAAGTCTGGCTTCCTTCAGCACCAGACAGCTCAAGGTTTGCTTGTGGCTACACAAGTCACATCTTCTTATCTTCGACGCCAGCGTTTGGGAACCTGTGACATGTAAAGCTATTCCCCGAGGCAGTGGCAGTTTCCTGGGCAGGTAGTCCCTGCCTGCCCCTCTCCCCAGGCAGTCAGGACACCATGTACAAACTCATTTAAACACTGAACCCTCAAGTCCTGGAAGAAGCAGCATCTCTTCTCCCTTCCCAAAGGAGCTTTAAAGGGCATGAGAGTTGGGCACCACAGCTGCAGAAAAGCAGCAGCAAACAACCTGAGAACGGATGTTAGAAGCGTGAGCAACAGCACTGCAAACTGGGGTACAAAACGCAAGTGGGAAAGGACTGTTAAATGGAGAGAAGAAAAGGTTTGGTAGGGATGAGCTCCAATGCAGATGGATATTTGAACAACAGGCTGCTAATCTCAGATCTTTGAAATACCTAACCCCACTGCAAGGGCTTGAAAAACCTGCCCTGTGCTCAGCAGCAGAGACGGGGTGAAGAGAACAGAACAAAGAGAAGGAGCCATAATTCAATCAATCCCAACTTTTGAGAGTGGTGGGAAGATGCTCCATGTACTTGGCCTTCAGGGTGTTGATCACCCACAGTACTACATGGGAGCCAAGAGCTCCCAGCACCCATCAGATGATGCCTGGCACTTCCCAGGATCAGCCCCCAAATGTTTCTGAGATCACATGGGCTTTGCAGCATGCCTGGGAGTTTTACAAATGCAAATGATGAGCTAATATTATAATTGAATTTCTGATTCTCTTACAAATCTTAACTTCGTTAAAACTGATTGTATTTTGGGGGCAAAACTTATCAGTTAGCATCCATGCTGATTACTGTATTTCCTGCTCATGTAGCATTTTAAACGGATTAAAGTCTTCCTATACCATTATTCAGCATTCATAAACAAAATCAGGACACTCCTCAGTTCAACGACTGTAAAATAAGGGGGACTATTCATTTCCACCGATAGCAAGAAGGTTCACAGAAGCATCTCCCGGTCAGACAAAGGGCCGCGAATCCATTGATCAAAGCATAACCCCGCTCCATATGTTTTATTCTCCACTCACAAGTCAAGCACTGTCCCTCAAATGGCTGCTCCCTCGCACACAGCAAATAAACAACACAGAGCAACTCATTTTCATCTCAGAGGATTGGAAATCATCCTAGGCTTGTTAAATCTATTTAAAAAAAACATCAAATGATGTTAGGGATTTAACTTATTCCTTTGATCTACTTAAACATTAAGGCATTTTGTACTCTGCTGCCTCCCTTGTTACCAGCCATGCTGGCCTGTGCTGGCCCTCATCCTGCACTTACACAGCTCCTCAAGCACTGAGCACACATGCAGTCTTGTTGGCTTCCACAGAACTGACCATGGACTGAATCGGGTGCCGTGGCTGCAGGACCGCGACCTGGACCTGCAACACCAGCCACAGAAGGCCTTGAAAACACTCATGCAAAACAGACACAGGCTCCAAACCCACCAGTGACTCTGGCTTCCAAGGGACTGCCCCACGGACGCAGCAAGCTGGTGCGCTCTGCCAACTGCAAGATCAGGCCAAAGCAGAGAAGACATCCTGAACCAAAATATCCTACTTAAAGCCACATCAAGTGAGTAAAGGAAAAAACAGACAAAAACAAACAAACAAACAAAAAAACAGATGTTGCTTTTTTCAGATGACTGCACTCCTATTTGGGGTATGAACAAAAAAGAATAATCCCACATGCTTTGGAAAAGCTTGCATAGTTATGTAAGTACATGTACATACACATGCACATAGATATCTAGAGAGAGATCTCTCTCCACACACACACACACACTCTATAGACAGCACTGTTCAGAAGGTAGCGGAGAAGTTTTTTTTTTTTTTTTTTTCCTTTTTACACATGTAAAAGAACAGGCTCTCTACTGCTCCGAAGTGCCTGGGTGACCGTGCAAGGGAGCAAATTGGGACAAAACAGCTGCAACGTCCAAGTTGCAGATTTAGGAAAATGCTCAGATTGAAACACATAAAAATCTATTTCCATTTTTCTCTCTTTAATGAAAACAAGAGCCTCTAGGCTTTGTAGAAGTCTTAGCCACCTAGCCCAAGATGGATTTAAAATGAGGACATTCGGTTCATTTAAAACACACCAACTAAGGAAAACAAAGAAGGCAACTGTGTTTTGTTAGATCTGCTTGAGAAAAACATCAGTCCATCATGCTGAATATTGCCAAGTTCATCCCTGCACTCAGACGCAGGCTGCCCCACATTTTTGTTACTGTTGAAGAGGCTACCATCTCAAGGTAAAACTGAATGTCTTAAGAAACACAAGCACAAACTTTGGTTTTCACTCCCTAAGCAAAACCACATTTTGAACATTAAAGCTCATTCAGATGCCCTGTCTAGACACACAGTTCCTAGGTGAAGACGACTTTGATTTCTCTCAAAAAGAGACTAAAATGGGCCCTATTTTAAAAAGGCCTAATGCTACAAAAGTCACACAAAACAGACTGCAGCAATCAGGGGTGACCTGGGACTTCACAGCCGTCGCTACCCTGCACACTACGGATGCAGAAAATGTCAGTGATTTCTTCCCACAGGCCCAGGCTCCTATGATCTGAGCTGAGCAACATTTGTTCTCTCTTTGCAGCATAAGGTCTGCGACACGCAGCCAGCCAGACCCAGTTTTGCCCAGTTTCACCCAGTAGTGATCACTAGGAATACACCACAAAAGCCATTTCTTGACAACGTTTGCTGCTCTCTTAAATGGCACCAAAGCTCATGCCAACACCAAAACCAAACATAAGCCTTTGTCCTTCATACCAGGCACACAAAGAAGGCATTAAATAATCCCACAAAATATCCTCTCTATTTCTTTGTGGCCTTGGAGATCTTGAGATACTGTGCACATCCTGCCAACTAACTTGCTTCCTTCGTGTTGTGCTGCTATTAGACCAGCATCTCAGGGCTCCATGCTGGCAGGGCAGTCCGAGCACTCAGCTGTCGGGGAGCAGGACTGACTTGAGCCGTTTTTCAGCAAATGCAGGAACTGGAACTGTGGATCCGCTGAGGGCTCTGCTTCCAGCCCTCTTTTGCCAATGGCCAAGCCACCATTACCAAAGCCTTTGAGAGGAAGAACAGGGGAAAAGGAGTAGGGAGCCTTCAGGGCATCCTACCCAGGGCAAAACAGATTCCAGGCCTGCAGAATCACTTCCCAGCAGAGGCAGAAGCTACGTGAGATCTGGGTCTGGGATCAAGGGGGAATTGGAAGTGAGCAGAACTGCCCTGAAAATCACCAGGGAAAGCACTGCAGAGCTGCAGGATGCAGATGAGCACCCCCACCCCCTCTCAGCCCACAGCAAACCACTAAGGATGCCGTTTGGCCCGGACAGGAAAACCTTCCCCACAGCGAGATGTCCCAACACTATTGAGAGCCACGTTTATCGCGTAGCTTCAGGGAACTGGAGCAAACGAAAAACGAACGTGCAAAAACACCCCTACCTACAGCCCCATCCTGACAGCTTTGGGAAAGCAGTATCATTTGAACATGAGATATAATGCAAGCTGACCAAAGAAAAGGGAAGATTTCTGTGTAAAGAACAGCTGCCTAAACTGGAAGCACCCCCTTTGAATAAGAGGTATGTATGCTTCCATAGCTTCTTCGTGCCACAAGGAACCAGTAAGAACGGGCCAATTCCTCAGGGACCAGAGCCAGACAGGAATACAGCAGAAAAGCCGAGTATGAGCAATAGTCAGAGGCAAAATGGTGGGGCCTCCACTGGCTCTCTCCTGGATTGAAAGGGTTGGCTAGGCAGGTAACACAGCGTTCTTATAAAACGGTGAACTCCCAACTGTGGCGATCTGAGACCACCAAGCCGTCACAGACCAGAGAGCTCCTTAAGGCAGGGGTTGAGGGGCAAGGGGCTGAAATCCCACCTTTCTACAAGCCAAGAATGAGTGAAAGAGATGGAGGTTCCCAAACCTGAAAGCTCACAAAGCGCATAGGAAAGCCAGTGAAGACCCTCCCTTTGATTTTACAAGATCCATTTTGCAGGCACCTGTTCCTTCCTCTGGCTGATGTAAAGTCCTTTGGGATCGAAATGTTAAACAAGCTGCATACACGCACCCTCACTGAAATGCAGCAAGTTTCTGGGATGGATGCTATTTAACAATATGAACCTCACTGAAATGCAGCTACTTGAGGGATGGGTGCTATTTAATATTACAATCCCAAAGGCCTTTACAAGCTGTATACACACACACTCACCTAAATGCAGCAGCTTATGGGATGGATGATATTTAACATTACAACCCCAAAGGCCTTTACAAGCTGCATACATGCACCCTCGCCAAAACAAAGGAGCTTCTGCGATGGATGCTATTTAACATACATTATGAATCACGCTGAAATGCAGCAACTTGTGGGATGGGTGCTATTCAACATTACAATGCCAAAGGCCTTTAACAAGATGCATCTGTGCTGAAGTGCAGCAACTTGTGGGATGGACGACCATCAACATCACGATCCCAAAAGCCTCCACGAGCTGCAACTTCTGGGCTAGCAACGCAGCGACAAGCACAGCAGGCGCGACCGGACCCCAGCGCTCAACTTCCCCCTGTCACCTGCATTTCTACCCTCGAGGCTCTGCTGCGGACGCACCCGCCGTGGCGCGACCCCCCACCCCGGTTTCACGGGGAGCACAAGGAGACACCCCTCGGCAGCCCGCGAGCCTCCCCACTCCCGCGCCCCGCGCCCGGTACCTGCTGGCCGTGCCGGCGGTGCTGCCCCCGCTGCTGTGCTTCCTGGCCCGGCTCAGCCTGCGCGCCGGCTTGGCCTCGGGGCTGGGGAGCGCGGGGAAGGCGGAGGCGTAGCCGTGCTCACACTCTGCACACAAACACAAGGCGGACAGGTGAGTACGCGAGGCGGACAGGTGGCAACCCGGCTCCTC